CCCCTTCTCCTCCTGCCCTCAATCTTTCCCAGCATCAGGGTCTTTTCCAATGAGTCAGCTCTTCGCATCAGGTGACCAAAGTATTGGAGTTTCAGCTTCAACATCAGTCCTTCCAATGAACACCCAGGACTGATCTCCTTTAGGATGGACTGGTTGGATCTCCTTGCAGTCCAAGGTACTCAAGAGTCTTCTCCAACACCACAGTTCAAAAGCATCAATTCTTTAGCACTAAGCTTTCTTTATAGTCCAACTCTCACATCCATACATGACTACTGAAAAAACCATAGCCTTGACTAGATGGACCTTTATTGGCAAAGTAATGTCTCTGCTTTTTAATATGCTGTCTAGGTTGGTCATAACTTTCCTTCCAAGGAGTAAGCGTCTTTTTATTTCATGGCTGCAGTCACCATCTGTAGTGATTTTGGAGCCCCCAAAAATAAAGTCAGCCACTGTTTCCACTGTTTCCCCTTCTATTTGCCATGAAGTGATGGGACTGGATGCCATGATATTAGTTTTCTAAATGTTGAGCTTTAAGCCAACTTTTTCACTCTCTTCTTTCACTTTCATCAAGAGGCTCTTTAGTTCTTCACTTTCTGCCAAAAGGGTGGTGTCATCTGCATATCTGAGGTTATTGATGTTTCTCCTGGCAATCTTGATTCCAGCTTGTGCTTCCTCCAGCCCAGTGTTTCTCATGACGTACTCTGCATATAAGTTAAACAAGCACGGTGACAATATACAGCCTTGATGTATTCCTTTTCCTATTTGGAATATTTAATATTGAAAATAATCTGTCTATAAGTAGACCTGTGCAGTTCAAATTGGTACCCTTCAAGGGCCAACTGTACTTACTTCTCAAGAACACTGTTTTACAAACTGGAAGCACACAGAGGACATGGTTTGGTATCCCTTTTACCTGGTTCCATAAGCATTTCTCTGTGCTTCAATGTGTCATTACTGTAGCTGCTATCCTGAATATGCTATCAATGTTATATGATCATTTACATAACTATTCTGTTATTACTGGGAATTTTTATTGTTTCTAGGTTTTCACAATGATAATGTGAATAAAGAATAATGTATGAATTACATACGAAACAAACATTGATTAACAAATGTGTATCAAGGTGTCCCTGAATTTTGGTGCCTCTTGTGTCTTCTGCATTGGCTGGTGGATTCTTTACCACTAGTGACACCTGGGAAGCCCTAGGACTTGTAAAGGAGAAGTTATAATGAAAGAGTGAGGTGAATAGGACATTACACGCCTAAGAAAACAAATTGAGCGTCAAATTAACACACTTACATACTAAATGGAAACAGGTAAAAGGCAGAATAGGTAGAGCTGAAAACTGGATTATCTTCATAGAGAAAAAGACTGAGATAATCAGTTAATGCAGATAAAAATTAAGCTTACATTATAGGAAAGCTGCTAGGTATTTAGATCACCTAGAGTAGGGATAACTGCTGCCTCTGAGGTACAGAGTTCAAAAATAAAAAGATGATATCTTTTAAGATGTAATAGGTTTCCTTAAAAGAAATAATTGAAGTTGGAGATTGAAAGTGCACAATGTATCCCAGGAAGAAAAAAAAGGCTGATACAGAAAGATTTATGTTATATCCAAAGTAAGCCATAGAACTTTAAAGCTAAAGAATTCTTTAGACATACAAACTCCTCCTTCCTTTGAAAAAAGCAAATAACCTATAAAGGGGGAAATTTGAAACTGGCCTTAGATTTCTTTGCAATAACACTTAAAGCCAGCAAACAACAGACCAACATGTAAAAGATCCTAAGGGAAAGTGTGGCTCCAAGATATTATTTGAGTAAAAAGTTAATAGGCAGAGTTCAACAAATATGAAGTAATTCAAGGGAAACAGCACCAATGAGCTCTCCTTAAAGATGAAATTTGGTCAAAGAGAAGCCACATTACAAACAAAGATATCAGCAAACATCTCTCGGGAACAGAGAAAGCACAGTTTTGTTTTTTTTTTTAATATGTTTTACCTATTTGAAGAGTTAAGTTTAAAAAGCATTAAACAGTTATGGATCTGAGATTTTATCATTCCTTCTCATATATGAAATCATATATGTACATGGTTTTCATCACCACATTACTTATAATATCAAAAGATTAAAAACAACCAAAGGTCCATCAATCTGGGACAGATACATCCCACGACAGAATACTATACAGTTACTAAAAAAAAAAGAAAGATGACACGCATGTGTATGTATGTATGTATAAGGAAAGTTATCCAAAATATATCATTAAATAAAAAATATATGATGCATAATAGTGAGAAAAGTGGGAAATAAAGTATATTTTCACTTTTGCTTCTATCTGAAACATTAGAAATACATAAGAAACTAAGTAGTTATCTAATATTGACCGGGAAACCAGTAAGATGGCAGAAGGGTAGTAGTGATACTTCTCAAGGTACAGCATTTTGTATTGTTCTGACTTTAAAAAATGAATGTGTTCTGTATTTGAAACAAATTTTTAGGAACCAAAGAAATCATAGTCATCAAATAAAATTGAAATATTGTAGATCTGAACAATGTTTTTAAAAATGTTTATAGCTGGCTCTTCAGAATTTGAGTTGGGAAGAACAGAGACAGAAGGGAATCTGTTAGTGTTAATCTTTCAAAACAGAATCAATAGATAATATCTACATTGGAAACACAGAACTTAGAAAACACATCTCTATTTTATAACCTCTTAATGCCTTTCATAATATTTTATTTATTTAATTTGTGTATTTTTATATCTTTTTTGAACTTTAAAGACATCTTTTATGTAACAATATTTCCCATGACAAAGAAAAATTTATTTCAGGCACAGTAATTCCTCTAGTTTTATTCTTTTTTTCTTCTCTGAAATGCAAGTAACATTACAATGAACAATTTTGGTTAAAATAGATTTCATATGATCCCATTTTATTTTTATTTATTTTTAAATTTATTTTATTTATTTCTATTTCTTTTTCTACCCATTTATTCTTATAGTTGTAAAGAAAGATGCCTGCAATAATGTCCATGTTTTAGCAATGATAATTTCTGGGTAGGTGGTTTTGGGGAGATTGTTCTTTTTCTCTGCTTTCTAAATCATTTTAATTATTTTTAATGAGCATATATCATTTTTAAAAAATATGGTACTTTTTCTTTAAGCATACACATGAGCACACACATGCATACACACATATGTGCAGAGAAAACAAACGCCTCAAAGATTTATAGTGATTAATTCAAGAGGAAGAAACAAGGTGATTAGAAAACTATTTTGTTAACTTTTCTGTATTTTGAAGATGTTTAAACAATGTCCTATTAAATAGTATAAAACTATATGGAAAGAGGATATGAGATGATACCACTCTAATGACAGAAAGTGAAGAGGAACTGAAGAGCCTCTTGATGAGGGTAAAAGAGGAGAGTAAAAAAGCTGACTTGAAGCTCAGTATCTGACAATTTTGTATTTTTTTTCCAAATTATTTTAACTTCTTATATTATGTTCTTTCTTATATAAGAAATCTATAGATATTTATGTATACAATATTATATATGACAAAATTATACATAATTTAACAAGTATGTAACTAACAAACTTATCATATACCCAAAAGGATTCATGAAAAGCAACATTTTCTTGTCCCTCCTCTAAGAGATAAAGTACTTTCACTAGCTTTAACAGTCTTAGGGTAACTATCACCTTAATTCTCTAAAAAAATAATTAAAAGCTTATCCTATTTCTTAATTTATCAACTTTAAACCTCTTGCTATGGAAGATAAGGATTTCATACTCTTAAGCCATCCTTTTTATGATTATATTACTGTTTTTTGTTAAATCAATAAGGTATGTATCATTATAGTATAAATATTTTTCACTGTCAAATCAAATAGCATACTACAAGCACATTTCCCATCTTGTATGGATTTTGGTTTTTTCCCCAGAGTCTCTAATTACTATTCCCTCTTCCCTGTCCCTCCTGATTCTTTTTTCTTGGACCTCAGGTGAGAACTAGGTTAATAGTGATTATTGGTGCAGAACACAATTTCAGTATTAGCTCATGGAAGGTCTCAAGGGTATATCCTCTCATCTATCCTTGAATAAGATATAGATAGACTTTTTCATTTTTTTGTATTCAATTCAGTTCCCTTTTATTCCCAGGACCTTCCATCCTTCTCCAGTCAAGACTGATAACATTTAAATGAACTGAATAAGTGCCCTCTAATGTAATAAAGAAAGAAAAGAGTTTTGACAAATTTGAAAACTTTCACTTTTAAGCTCTCATAAATAGGTCTATTTTCTAATGCTTTTTCTCACTAAAAGCAATGAAAGAGAACTGTAAGTGTGACAAACATGTTTAATAAAGTGGAGAAACATCACATATTTTCCACAGATCATGTTTATGGTGACACAGTCTATTTAACTAAGCACACCCACTTTGCAGAGAACAATACCTGGAAGAAATAGGATTGCTGCTGCTGCTAAGTCGCTTCAGTCGTGTCCGACTCTGTGTGACCCCATAGATGGCAGCCCACCAGGCTCCCCGTCCCTGGGATTCTCCAGGCAAGAATACTGGAGTGGGTTGCCATTTCCTTCTCCAATGCATGAAAGTGAAAAGTGGAAGTGAAGTTGCTCAGTCGTGTCTGACTCTTTGCGACCCCATGGTCTGCAGCCCACCAGGCTCCTCCATCCATGGGATTTTCCAGGCAAGAGTACTGGAGTGGGTTGCCATTGCCTTCTCCGGAAAACAGGACTAACAATTATTAAACATTTATTAATTGCTGAGAATAGAAGGTTATCTTATTTCATCTCTTAACAACTTTATATATTATTTGCTTCCTTTATAAATGAGTAAATTGCAAGTTTAAATAACCTGCCCAGGAAGTAAAAGTGAAACGTAGGTCTGACTCTAAAGCTCATATTCTCCTCACTCTATAGCCTGCTTTCTGGTCTATCCTCACTAAACCTTACTGGCTGTATTGTGTTTGTTTTTCCTCTTAGTGGATGAATGTTCATCTGACTACACAGTTGTGCTTCCTGTGATTGCGGCCATCGTGGTTGGTCTCCTCGCTGTGGGTTGTATTGTCTATGCAATCCGTTTAAGGCATGAATATTCTGGATACCAGAGAATCTAATTGGTGCCCAGGAGAAAAGAAAAGCATGGAGTTTAGAGAACTCTTTCATTGTTTCCAGGATGTTGTGGACTTCCCTTGGAGTGTGGATCCTCCCAACCATGTAAACCATCATCTTTCACAAAAAACAAAAAATCATTTCTGATGTAAGTTCAAGCAGCATATCAATTTAAAAATATTTTTGTTTGCTTTACGAAAGATCTGAGGAGTTAAGAATATTTCTAGTTTCATTTAAAATATTTTAACCAAAGTCAATTATTATTGTTGATTGAATCAATAAGTTAAATCATCTTGCTAGAAATAATTTATTTTGTTCTATTCTCTATTGCCACATTATTACTAAGTAAGAAAACCTACTTGAGAGAAACCGAACACTTGAGATACATTAAATTAATAATGTATGTAAGGTGGTAAATACTCCATATTATAAACCAAAGAGTCAATTGTAATTAATGTTACCTGTGTTCACATGGGAAATTTATTTTACCCTTGATCTTTTCCACTTTTAAAGCTGCTTCTGCTTTGCATAAAAAATATATTTTCAGTACTTTTACTATGTTTTGTGTGATGTACATCTGTCTGGCAATTGACTTACTTCCTTTTCCACTTTAAATGTTTCCTAAAAATCCTGAAAAAGAGCAACATATCATAGTGGTCTAGACTTTTGATGTGACACCAAGAGGAATAGATCAGCTTATATTTTTGTCTTGACTCCTGCTTCAGAATCACTGAAGGCTAAGAATTAGGTGGCTACAGACAAAAGAATTAAATAAGAAGCAAGAAACATTAATAATGGCCCTTTGCTATTGAACACATATATGCCAGACACTAGGTTAAACAGTTTATATACATCTTATTTAATTTCACAACTTAAATATGAGTAAACTCAGACTTGAGGAATTTCCCAGCTAACAAGTGGCAGAGCCACGGAAGTGTCACCTAGCTAACAAGTAGGAGAGCTTGATGTGACTTCCTTCCGGTCTTGTACCAAGGTCTCAGTTTTTTCACTACCCCAAAGTGCCTACAAGAATGATGACACTAAGTGCTGTCTGAAGACACATGCAGGTACGTGCTCCTTTTTACAGAGGCAATGATTTTATCCAGAATGACAAGCAATTAGAATACATGGAAGGAGGACTTAATAAAAAAAAAAGAATACATGGAAGGAGGACTTAATAAAAAATGAAATGAGTCTATCTTCAGTGAAGTTCTATACTCCCTCAAAGAAAATTGAGAGGCTCTGTAAAATATTTGTTTCTCATTTTTATGGGATTGTTAAGCTGTGAGTCTAAAGATGAAGAAATGGAGTAAGCTTTTCAAGGTATTTTTATTTCTTTGAACGAGAACTCTAACAGCTAACCAACTTTTCTTTCTTGAACATAGATCCCCCTCTTGTGGTAACTTGCTTCTTCTGCAGTTTTATGGCCACATTTTCTACTCTAGTTCATTTTATTCTGTAGAGCAGCCAAGAATTTTACTCCTCTTTGTTCTTACTACCAAAGAAAGGAACTAAGTCAGAATACTAACAGAAAAGACCACACACCCCTAGCATTCATTAGTAAAGGAATAATTCAAGTCACCCCGGAGGACACAGTCACTTTCCTGATTTGCTCTCTTATGTCTCAATACTGTTGGCAAAGTCCTAACTTTAGTCTTAATAGAATATTGAATTGTATTAAAAGTTTTGGTAATAAAAACTTATTTTTGAGATTAACTTATGTCATTCATTTCTTATAATTCGGTTTTTGTGCTATTAAATGTATTGTTTACAACCTTAGTGGAGGTTGTTGCTTCAATCAATAAGCTAAATCATCTTCCTAGCAATAATTTATTTTGTTCTATTCTCCATTGCCACATTATTACTAGACATGAAGGTCCATTTGAGAGAGACTGAATTTCTGAGAAGATAAACTGTATTGAAGATACAAGTTAAATTTCTCAACTCTCTGTCCAGACTACCTGACTGTTTTACTGGTTTTTTTAAGTGCTGCCACAATTTACCATTCATTCATTCATCCAACCAACATTGATTAAGGACTTCCAAAATGACAGACAGTCTGGCAGAGGCTGAGATAAATAAGAAGAGGTCTTGTATTAGTTATCAATAGCTATGTAACAAATTGCCCTGAAACTTAGCAGATTAAATCAGCAAACTTTTACTATCTCACACAGTCTCTGAGGGTCAGAAGTCTTGGAGTGGCTTAGGTGGCTGGTTCTGGCTCATGTCTCTCTCCAGGTGGCAGTTCACCTGTTGGCCAGAGCTGCAGTCATCTCAAAGTTCAAATGGGGCTGAAGGATGACTTCGAAGTTCACACCGTGTAGTGCAGCCATAGGCATGCTCACACCATAGCAGCTGGCTTTCCCCAGGGCAACGACGCAAGAGAGAGAGACTGACCACCTAGTCACAGAAGTCACATGCCATCGCTTCTGCTATATTCTGTTGTCACACCAACTCTATCCCTGATATTAATACAATGTACGAGTGAAGACCAGGAGAGGCAGAAATCAAGGGAGCTTTTCTTGGATACTGTCTACCCCATGCCCACTGTCAAGGCAGAATTACTGGTTTACTCTTGGGGGGGAAACTCAGGTATAGAAATTCCAGTACATACACCAAGAAAAGTTGTTTAATAGTAACCTATACAAAGGGTAACAGTAGTAGGGCTGTTTCCAGTCTGCTTCCAACTCTGCCCCAGATGGAGCACAGCCCTGGGAGAACAACCTGTCAAGCCCCGGCGCTGGTAGTCTGAACCAGCCACTGCTCAGATTGATTTGCCTTTCTACAAAGGTAGGTTGTTGGTCCATGCTCTATAAAATTCATTTATAGCTTTGCTTCAGGAATTTGTCAACTCCCCTATGCTCTGTTATAATATAATCCAAAGTGATCTGGACCACACAGATATGCCATGGAATATCACACTGAGCCCTACATTGATGATGTCATGCTAATTAGACAGGACAAGCTCGAAGCAATTATTATGCTGGAGGCCTTGGTTAAACACATGTGTTCCAGGAAGTATGAAGATTCAGGGACTGACTACCTCACTGAAGAATTTAAAGACCCGGAGGATCAAGGACGTACCAGAATATCCCCTCCAAGATAAAATACAGGTATTTTTCATCTTGCACCCTTTCCACAAAGAAAGAAGCACAGAGCCAGCTAGGCCTCTTTCAGCTCCAGTGGCAACATTCCACAGCTAGGAAAACTCCTCTGGTCCATTTACCAAGTGACACAGAAAATGATCGGTTTTGTGTGGGGCCAGGGCAGGAACAGGTACAACAACAACTCCAGGCCACAATGCAATCAGCTCTGCTGCTTGAGCCTTACAATTAGAAAGACCTCATGGTGCTGGAGGTTTCTGCATTGGGCAAGGGTACAGTACAAAATTTTTGGCAAACCCTAGTGGGAGAATCATGACACAGTCCCCGGGCAACTGAAGCAAGGCCAAGACCATGCCATTTGCAGCAGAAAAATATATCCTCTTTGAAAAGCAGCTCTTGGCATGTTACTGTGTCCTGGAATGCTTGATCTTGGGACACGAAGCAAACACATATCCAGAAATGATCATTTTTAGCTGGATTCTGGCAAATTCACCGAGCAATAAGCTGGATGGGCCTAGTAGTAATCAACTGCGGTATAGAAATGGACGTCCAGGATCAAGCCCAAGTCGGTTTAGAGAGCATAGTTAGGTAAGAGAATCTCTTTGTTTTAGAGAATACACATTAAAGTAATTTGGAGTGAAAAAGAGGATCATGTCTGCAACTTACTCGCAGATGGGTTTTTTAAATGTGAGTATATGAGTGTGTGTGTGTGTGATTAGGTACCTGGAGAGAAAAAGATACAGCAAACATTATAAAACATGAACACTTGGGATATAGAGGAGAAGGGTGCTATTCTTGCAGCTTTTCTGTAAGTTTGAAGTTACATCAAAACAAAATGTTTAAAACATTATGTGCTTAGGTACCAAATTCAGAATATGCAAAAGGGTACATAGTAAAAAGGCGTCACTATCCTATTGCTGTCCTGGAGTGAATAACTTTTCCTTCCCAGAGGCTATTGCTACATACTGGCTTCCCAGGTGGCTCATTGGTAAAGAATCCACCTGCCAATGCAGGAGATGCAGGTTTGATCTCTGGCTCAGGAAGATCCCCTAGAGAAGAAAATGGCAACCCACTCCAGTTTTCTTGCCTGGGAAATCCCATGGATAAAGGAGCCTGGTGGGCTTCAGTCCATGGGGTCACAAGAGTCAGACATGACATAGCAACTAAAACAACAACAAAAACAACAAATTGTTGCATACATAGCATGTATATTTTCTCCTATTTTTACACAAGTGACAGAATAATAACCACAATTCTGCACATTGCTTTTTTCACTCATCAATCAGTCTTAATATATGAGTATATATAGGCTGTCTCATTCTTTTTTTAGTGGTTGCACAACAACCCAATAAATGTACACCTGTACATTTATTTAACCAGTCTCTTTTAAGCAGTTCATCATTTCCAACAAAGAAACAGTAAGTTTCCTTAATCAGACATTATTTCAAATGTCTATATCTCAGGTGATTTCTAAGAAATAGCTTTGCTAGGTTTGTGAATTTGCAGTTTTGATAACTATTACCAGAGTACTCTGTATAATGGTTATGCCAATTTTCACTCAATAATGATAATAATCTCACGTCCCTCACTAATTACAACATATAATTAAACTTTTTGATATTTGCTGATGCGATATGTATATCATTATAGTTTTAATTTGTATTTCTTTGATTTGGAATAAAGTCAAATGTTTTTTATATTTTATTTACATACTTACATTTCCTATTCTGTGTATGGATTTCCCCAGTGACTCAGATGGTAAAGAATCTGCCTGCAATGCAGGAGACCCAGTTTCTATCCCTGGGTTGAGAAGATCCCCATGGAGAAGGGAATGGCAACCCACTCCAGTATTCTTGCCTGGAGAATCCTAAGGACAGAGGAGCCTGGCGGGCTACAGTCCA